GACCTCTCCAAAGTACTGAAGAGCAACAATATAAGTCTGGAGACTAAGGTGCACCTGTACAATGACTAGGGATGACAGAAGAATTGATGCCTTTGAGCTGTGGTGCTGAAGAAGAGTACTGAATATATCATGGACTGCTAGGAGAACAGACAAGTTCATCCTAGAGAGGTAAGACAAGGATGCTCCTTGGAGGCCAAGATTCTAATGTTTTGTTTGACATAGTTTGGCCATGCTGCAAGGCAGGACCAGTCACTGCAGAAAGATGTCATGCTTGGGAGGGTGAAGGGACAGCACAAGAGAAAAAGACCTCCATGAGATAGATTGATTCAGTGACTGGGGTGACAGGTAGATGTGTCACATGCAATGAGACTGGCAGAGGATAGAGCAGGTTTTAGGGCTGTTGTACATTGAGTGGTAGGCAATTAGATGGCACATAACAACAACAACAATGTGAAGTTAAAAATGCAAATAGAACTCTGCTTGTTTAATGTACAAAACAGTATGAATAAGGGAGCTCTGGTGGCCTACTGGCAAGAAGCTGCACTGCAATCCCAGAGGTACGTAGTTTTAATCCACCCAATGCTTTGCTAGAGAAGGAGGGGTAATCTCCTCCTGTACCAGCCAGATCCGATTTGATGGTACACATTCACAAAAAAAAACTTTAAAAAAAAAAGTATGAATAGAACCAAACATGAATTAAACACAAATATAGAATGCTTCATGAATTTGTGTGTCATCCTTGTGCAAAGGTGATGCTAATCTTCTCTGTATTGTTCCAATTTTAGTATATGTGCTGCCAAATCGAGCACTGCTAGGTGAAATTGAAGTTGTACTAAGAAACATAAACGCAGGTTATACGCATAGATTTCAACTGATGGTATGCATAGGAATCAGATCAATTACACCTGCAGAAAAAAAAACCTCTGGAGAAGCTCATTATCAGCTGTGAAAATAAGGCCAGGAACTAACAGTGGAACAGACCACCAACTACTCATACGCAAGTTCAAGTTGAAGCTGAGGAAAATTAAACCAAATCCACGGCAACCAAAATATGACTTTGAGTTCATCCCACCTGAATTTCAGAACCATCTCAGGAACAGGTTTGAGGCCTCGAACACTAATGAGCAAAGACCAGATGAGTTGTGGGAGGATGTCAAATGTATCATCCAGGAAGAGTGCAAAAGGTCATTACAAAGACAGAAGAGGGGGGAAAAGACCAAAATGGATGTCAGAAGAAACTGAAGAATTGCACTGGAGCGCAGAGAAGCCAAAGCACAAGGAAGAATTCAAGATACGAAAGAGCTGAACAGAAGATTCCAAAGGGAAGCACAGGATGACAAAGCAACATATTACAATGAAATGTTCAAGGAGCCAGAGTCAGAAAATCAAAAGGGCCAAAATCGCTCAACATTTCTTAAGCTCAAGGAACTGAAGAACAAATTTAAATCCCGAGTTGCTATAATCAAGGATGCTTTAGGCAGAATATTAAATGATCCAGGAAGTATTAAAAGAAGATCGAAAGAATATACTGAGTCAGTGTATCAAAAGGAACTGACACACCCAGAAGAATTTCATGAAATAACATATGAGCAAGAGCCTATACAATGATGAAGGAAGAAGTTCAAGCTGCTTTGAAGGAAACAGCAAAAAATAAGGCCCCAGGAATAGATGGTATACCAACTGATGTATTTCAGCTAATGGATGCTGCTCTGGATGTGCTCACCAAGTTGTGCAAAGAAATCTGGAGAACAACCATTTGGCCAACTGACTCGAAGAGATCTATATTTTTCCCATCCCAAAGAAGGGTGACCCAACAGAGTATGGAAACTATAGAACAATCTCATTGATTTCACATGCAAGCAAGATTCAACTGAAGATTATCCAAAAACGACTGCAACAGCACATCGGCAGAGAACTGCCTGAAGTCCACGCTGGATTTAGAAGGGGTCGTGGTACTAGGGATATTGTAGCTGATGTTAGATGGATCTTGGTTGAAAGCAGGGACTACCAGAAGAATGTCTGTGTTTCATTGATCATGCAAAGGCATTTGACTGTGTGGATCACAACAAACTTTGCCTGACTCTGAGAAGAATGGGAATCCCAGAACACTTGATCGTTCTAATGAGAAGCCTATACTTGGACCAAGAGGTAGTTGTCAGAACAGAGCAAGGAAACACTACATGGTTCAAAACGGGGAAAGGCGTATGCCAGGGATGTGTTCTATCTCCATATCTTTTCAACCTGTATGCAGAACAGATTGTCCAGGAGCCTGGGCTCTATGACAAGAAGTGTGGCGTCAGGATTGGTGGAAGATCTATTAACAATCTGCCTTATGCAGATGACATGACCCTGCTTGCTGAAACTCAGGAGGACCTGAAGCGCTTGCTGCAGAGGGTCAAGGACTGCAGCCTTCAGTATGGATTGAAGCTCAATGTCAAGAAGACAAAGATTCTCACTTCTGGACCAATTGGCAGCATCAGGATGGATGGTGAAGAGATTAAGATTGTTAACATCTTTAGTTTGCTTGGCTCTATGGTCAACAAAATTGGCACTAGTAGCCAGGAAATAAAAAAACATATTGCGATGGGAAAGTGTGCTGTTAGGGACCTCTCCAGGGTACTGATGAGAAATGGTGTCACTCTGGAGACTAAGGTGCATCTGATACAGGCTATGGTCTTTGCAATCACTTGTTATGCATCAGAGAGTTGGACAATGATTAGGGAGGACAGAAAGAGAATTGATGCCTTTGAGCTGTGGTGCTGGAGAACAGTATTAAATGTACCATGGACTGCCAAGAAAACAAACAGATTCATCCTGGAGAGGGTTAAACCAGGCTACTCCTTGGAAGTAAGGATTCTGGGGCTTCGTGTGACATATTTTGGACATGTTGTAAGGAGGGAGAGGTCCTTGGAGAGGGAGGGACATCATGCTTGGAAGGGTGGAGGGACGGCACAGGAGGGGAAGACCCTCTATGAGGTAGATTGATTTAGTGACTGGGGTAATCGGGATGGGTGTGTCAGAGGCAGTGTGATTGGCACAGGATAGAGCAGGGTTTAGTGCTGCTGTACATAGGTTCACGATTGCAAGCGACTCAATGGCACATAACAACAACATATACCATCTGTGTACATACGTATTGCGCTTTCACCAAAAGAAAGATTGGTATATTAACCAACCTTTGATATATGTAAGATTGATATATTAACCCTTTATTTATATATTTAT